TTGAGTAAGAGTGAGCCGCTTGCATAAAAGCTGAGCTTAAGCTCAGACTACATTTTTGCACTGAAGAAGTGAGAAGGATTTTTGCTAAAGGCGAGGTGCTCCGCAAGGCTGTGTACTGCCGCCCCCTCTGCGAAGGATTTGCATAGTAAACAACATTCTTCTAAAAGCGCCGCGAGGTCAAGTTATCGTGTACGCGGACGATGTAGTGCTATGTTGTGCATAAGTGTAATAAACGGCCGGCTCAACGCAAGTCGCGCGAACACCGAACTAATTTCCTTTAATGGATAAACTCTTTCCGCTAAAGCTAATTATCTGGACTCCATATTCATGTCAGAAAATGCTGGGTAAGGAGAAGGCTTTACATTCTGATCTTGTGTTATGGATTTACGAGTTGAGNAATGAAAATGAACAAAATATGAAGAAGAATGCATACAATTTTGCCAATAATCCAAGTAGCGTTGTTCGAGTACGTTTTAAAATCTATCAGAACAAAATTTGTTCAAGGGCAGATACATTTTAAAACCTACTTGGACAAACGGTCCTAAATGTTTTTCTATCGATTGTTCCGCCTTTTGCATGTGATATTTCCACATTCTCCTATTTCCCCTGCAAGATAAAGCAATTAAATTTTATTTCGATATTCTTACATCACTTCATTGCAAATTTTTTCGATTAGAGCGCACTCAACGATTGTCCCAAATGATCAGAAAACTTTTCAATTTTTTGCGCATATTTAATAAATCTTATGCAAACTGACTGAAAAGATAAACGTATAAGGCCATAGCCACAAAATATTTATGCAGACAAATCCGCAGAGTATCGAAAGTAGATAAAAGCTAAAAGAAATATCTGCATATTTTACCACATTCTAGGTTAATATTCATATTGAAAATGTGGTCAGAGACGAAAAGTCAGCAGGCGATATGCGGGAGGCTGGCTATAGATATCCCAAAGCATGTCAGCGAGGCAAAAGTTATGCAATTTAGCATAGTAGTTGTCGAAAGAAAGTTGGTAGTATACCAAAAAGTACAAAGCAACAACAATACTGGCCATAATTTCCCAGCCGGCAATACCAAGCAATTTCGTTTTTTTTTTTTTTGTATTCTATCTGTGTATTTATTTATTTACATAGTATGTATTTACTTACCAAATTTTTATTTCGTGTGCATTGCAAAAGTTCTTGGTAAAGTTTTTCCGCTTGATCGAAGCCGACTTCGAAAGTTTTTTGTATAGTAGTTATTAAGTAATCCCGCATGGACTCCAGTACTGGCTGCTCCTCGCCATCGGAGGCATATCTAATGATGAAGTAACATAAGAAGAAAATCAATTAATAGAAATGGTCATCTTCTTACTTTAAAGTATATTGAGTAAGAGTGAGCCGCTTGCATAAAAGCTGAGCTTAAGCTCAGACTCCATTTTTGCACTGAAGAAGTGAGAAGGATTTTTGCTAAAGGCGAGGTGCTCCGCAAGGCTGTTTCGCCTAATCATTACCTACGGTTCCCTGGTTTAGTGGAGAGCCGCAAATACATATATACATTAGGACGGGCCAATTTGTAAGGGAGATTTTTCGACTAAGCGCGTATAGCACAGAATGATTCTACCTGTAATTCTAAGCAAATTTTCTAAAGAAACCATGGGTCTGAAATCAATTTGGAGTTTGGCAAATTGCGAAAATAGGTATAGCATTTTGCTGTAGTGTCGTAAAGAAGTGTTTAAATTTTGTATAAAAACATGCTATACGAGGTTTTTTGGTATGAGGGATACATTTCTGCACTTATTTTTTTCTTAAAACTTCCACCTGAGGCCGTAAAAGTGAAAATTTTCATATTTTCCTCGAAACCTATTTTCGCAATTTGGCAAACTCCACGTTGATTTTAGACGCATGGTTTTTTCATAAAATGTTGTAAGAATTACATGTAGAATACTCCTACGCCCTAATATACATATGTACATACATATATTAGGTTTTCAACCAGAATTACAAAATTTATTGTATCATAAAGACTCTTAACTTACTTAAACTCTTCTATTATATGATGTGATTTTTTTTTTGGAAAAAGTATTTTTTACGATCAATTTTATTTATCGGTTTCTTGAGGTATTTTCTGAAATATTTTGGCGGAAGTCTTAAAATATAATAGACTTTATAACTCCGATGAAACAAATTACTTTTTTATGGAGAGTGATGCACCCTAATATACATAGAACGTAAGACATAAATTTCAATGTTTTATTTTGAAATTTTTTTATTTAGAACAACAAAACAATAAACAATTTCATAGACATATAAACATTTTCATGGAACAACAAAACAATATACAATTTCATAGGTAAGTACATTAGCTGGGTCGATTTTTTTCCCCTTCAATGAGTATAGCAAAAACGTAATCCCGCAAAATTTTAAGAAAATCTTTCCTAGAAACCATAGGCCTCAAATGAATTAGAAGTCCACGAAAATTGGTGTGAAAATTCCAACTCCAGAAAATTTTAAGAACAACTTCTTTTTTTTCAGCTTTATGCACGGCGCCACCGCATTGCGCAGTTTGTTTATTGCATTTAGTTATAAATGAAACAGTCTGCAGGAAATCGCGGTAGCAAACAAAATACAGCGTATAGTGTCGATTAGTAAATAGAATTTGAAAAATATACATAATTTAAGAGTTCTAAATTTTTTTACAACGGGATGTCTAAATTTTTTTTTCGTGTCAAAAACCGGTACGTTTTGCGTCCCGGCATATTTTGTACCGGGACTGGGACATAGCTTTCAAATCCGGGACAGTACCGCCGAAAACGGGACGGTTGGCAACCGTGCTTGAAGATGACGAAACTTCAGAGCATATTCTCTGTTACTGTCCGGCTTTGGGCAGACAAAGATTGAGTGAGCCACTTAAAAGCTTCAATGGTCGAACCCTTTGTTACAAACCTACCAAGGCCCTTTTAGGATTCATTAGGGAAGCTGAAGGTCTCTTGGCTACACTGTTTTAGGCACTTACTGTATAAGAGATACTTAAGATCTTTCAGGTCGCGGTGTCTCTAGTTCTGTTACATCCAAAAATTACTAACTAACTATCTAACTAATCACTGTGCTTTAAATCAAGCTCCACAGCACTGGCAAAATGTGGCTAACCATAGGTGAAAGGACTTAAAATCCCGTACAAATGCGACAACATAACCAAATAATTCAATAACTAGACAGGCGTGAATACCTTATTTACTTGAGTAAATTTTGTTTAAATTTAATTCACAATATTAATGATTTAAAGCCCTCAGGCATCACTAAAGCTTCAGTGCTGCACCACCCGCAGCGAAAACTAATTTAGTTGCGATAAAAAGACAAAAAAATTTTAATTAAATTTTCTAATAACACGTAGCCAAAGTACATACATAGATGTGGTGGGTGTCAAAAGTGGTTAAAATAGAGCAGTCACCTCATTTCAACTAAACCTATCTATGATCGTACATATGTACATACATACATATATTGAGTGTTAGGGTGGAGTGGAACAAGAAGTTTTGTGTTTCGAAATTCGAATAGCGGGAAATCGTTGCCCTTGGAAGTTAATCGAGTATCCTTAATTTATCATTTTTAGAAAACTTTTAGAATAGCAGTTTTGTAAGCCATTAAATTTTACAATAATAAAGTACAAGTTTAAAGTTGCTTAGACTTAGCCTCGATTTTATTTTATTTTTTGGTGAATGTGTTGCTTATTTTCTCCATTTAAAAACCTTGTCGAACATACTTCATATATGCAGCAACAAAAAAACATTGCCAACAGTATTTTGTAGCCACCGTGAACTTGCTCTTTATTATCTCAAACTTAACTGCATATCTAGAATTTTTCTTAAAGGGGAGGCAAAAATTATTAATCGATTCTACAAAACAAGTGTGGGATATTCTATTGCCGTCCAAAGGCAACGATCTCCGGTTATAAGAATTTCAAACGCAAATTTTTTTTTGCGCTCCACCCTATTGTACATACAACAAAAAAAAAAANAAAGTGATAAGAGAGAGAGAGAGAGCATTCATTTTACTTAATTGGTACAAATTTCGTAATAAAACAGCAGCCAGGAATATTACTCGCTTAGATGTCAAGTCGCGGGACAATTCCCGCAAGTAGACAAGTGAAATTTGTCTCCAGGATATTGATGCGGTGTCAAGCTGGCGCGAAAGAGGGTCAACAACATGACTGACAAGCTAATTACATCTACATCAGCAACAGCAACAGCATCAGCATCAGCATCAGCTTCACCTCCGCATCAAACACACCTGTTGTCAACATCAACACAGTACAGGCGAATGAATTTTAGCATAAAATATTTTGGCCTAAGCAGTTGTAATTATTTATGTTGCTGCAATTACAAGCCCCGCCAGTTAAAGCTAGTATAAGCCTGCACCACTAACCGCAGCAACGAAATAGATAACAACAATATAAACCAAACTTACCGACACCAGAGCTGAACAAATGTCTAGCAAATATACCGACAATTTCGAAATGCAAATCAGTGAGTGAAAAGTTGCATGGTTAACAAAGTTTGGTCTCAGTGGTTTTGGGTAAATAAAACGAATATAAATAATAGAAAAGCCAAAACAAAGTGTTTGTCTTTTGTGGTTCAAAGGGTAGATCAGCTAGGGGAGGTATTTCTAATGAAAATTTAGGACAACAATTTTGAACAAGGGATATTCTGCCGAAATCAGCAATAAAATCTGCGTTTTGCTAACTTTAATCCTCCAATTGTGTGGCCAATTACCACACGAATATTATCTCTGGATAGGTATTCTATCGGAACCCGCAATAAAATTTACATTTTTGCAAAAACCTGATTTTTAACACCTTGCTAAATATATCTCTTCATAAGCTTGCGAAAACAAACTACAAGAAATTTTTTACTACTACAAAATAAACAATCTTGTCATAAAAAAAAATAAAAAACTTTAAATAGTTCTTGAAAACGCCAATTTTCTTGAACCATATTTTATCAATCGCGTCCGAGTACTTCTTAATATGGCTAGTTTTGGGTGCCGGGTCACAGTGACATCGCGGGAAACTGCGTGGATGATCACCTGGCGTTGAAAAGGCATCTTAAAACATTATCCCCATATAAAGAGCAACTAGCGACGCCTCAGTCCCCCTGCGGTACACTCTTGGACGGTTGGGCCTCGTGTCAGCTCGGCGAGCGCTCGAATAACACAAGAACATGCGCAATTCCCAGATCCTTCTGGCCTGGGGTGGACCGAGGGCAGCCAAAGGAGCTCCTTACGCTTGAAAAGCCTCTGCTCTCGCTAGTNAAAATAAATAAAAAACTTTAAATAGTTCTTGAAAACGCCAATTTTCTTCAACCATATTTTATCAATCGCGTCCGAGTACTTCTTAATTAGGCTAGTTTTGGGTGCCGGGTCACAGTGACATCGCGGGAAACTGCGTGGATGATCACCTGGCGTTGAAAAGGCATCTTAAAACATTATGCCCATATAAAGAGCAACTAGCGACGCCTCAGTCCTCCTGCGGTACACTCTTGGACGGTTGGGCCTCGTGTCAGCTCGGCGACCGCTCGAATAACACAAGAACATGCGCAATTTCCAGATCCTTCTGGCCTGGGTTGGACCGGGGGCAGCCAAAGGAGCTCCTTACGCTTGAAAAGCCTCTGCTCTCGCTAGTGGTTGGGGTTCTGACATGCAATTGTGCCATTGGTATTCACGCGGTAAGGCTAGGAATTTCAACTGATCACTTTTGTAACAGCTGTCAAGAGGAAGATGACTTTATTCTAGATTGTCCAACCTTCGCTGGGCTAAGATGGAAGCATTTTCGCTCGCACTTCTTAACTAAAATTGAGCTCTCAGGCATCGATATTAGCCACGGTGTTTCGCCGTCTAAATTAATGATCTCCGTTCAGTTTTTTCGTGGTATCACAAAGGACATTCTCTTAATTGTCCACGTGTCCCTTGCCTGGGGCAACCACTTTAATCTAAAGCAACCTAACATAAACTTCTTTGAGCTATGAAATAGTGGGTCACATTATGTATGCAGTCTATGAACTCCTCGGCTTACTTCTTCCCGCTGGTTTCAGTGCTGGTGTCATTCAAAATGTAAGTACATTTTGGACATCGGTGATTAAGACGACGTGGTTGTTCTTAGAAAAAACCGTTGTGGACTTCCTTCATACAAAGTATTTTCGACTATTTTTTTATATGGAAGAAAATACGCAACTCTTTCAACACAAAAAAAAACGTGAAAAAGTCCTAGCTACTTCAAACTTACACTTTATTGTACTAGAATTCAATGGGTTACAAAACTGCATATTCAAAATCTTTCTAAGAAATTTAGTTAAAGAGTTCGAAATTTTTACTAAAGTTTGTTGATTTTTTTCTTAAATTTTTTTCTTAAAGTTTGAAACTTTCATTTATCTATATATGTACATATATAAATGTGAATGTCTGTTATTACCTAGTACCCACCTACCTAGTACCTAGTAGTTAAAAGCTAGTACGGTATAAGAAATAAACTATATTCTTATAATAATACAATTAAAATTAAATAACAAAAAAAAATTTATTGTGAAAACTGATGTATTTTGAACTGGTGGCCGCTACCATCTGCTGGTGCTGATTCGATTTTTTACGTGCATTTAGTCTCTAAATTTACTTTTTTTGCTCAGATCTTAAGTGTCACACTTTATTTACCTATTTTGACACCCATTAGATTCCAAAACCAATAACAACCTACACGTAGATTGCTTGTTGATTTTGGTGTGGCGATGTTGCCTATGCAATGTCGCTTGGTAAGTATCACTTTTTTCATTACTTGCAAAGTTTTTTTTTTATTCTTACTGCCTTAAAGGCAGACATGAATCTGCAGCATTTTATCATTATCAGCACATATATATTTTGCAGGGTATATACAGCTTTGATTAGATTTAATGCTCACGAAAAACTCTGAAAACCCTTTTTGGCGCTCGCCCTGCTAACAAGCCTGGCAATATTTCAATTAATTGAAGTAAAATTTCGAGTGAGCCTTATTGAGGGTAACCATATACTTGTACATAAGTACCTATGTACGTACATACATATGCATTTACTAAAAAGGGCAACAATTTCCGCACACTTGCATAAACTAACGTAAAATGGACCCCAATTAGAGAGTATTTATGAAACTTCCAACTTGCCAAGCTGAAAACCATATCCAACTCAATTGCCACTGGGCGAAAAGCCAAAAGCGAAATGGGTGGCCGTGACCAACAGAATGGGTGGTTCCCTTCGAGTACAATTGTACATAAGCATACGCATTAGGGTTGTATAGGCATGTGAGAAAAGTAGAGTCGGAATTTTAATGCTCTCACCCCTAGGATTGTTCTATATAGAAAAAAGTTCAACTTGTTTTTTTTTTGTTATCAAAAACTGGTTAGAGCGCTCAAAATTTTCCAAGTATTTTATACAAAATTTTCAAAGTTTTTTATACAAAATTATCCAAGTATTTTATACAAAATTTTCCAAGTTTTTTATACAAAATTATCCAAGTTTTTTATACAAAATTATCCAAGTATTTTATATGCGGAAGAACTATTTTTCGTAGAAATGTTATAGAATCCGTGAAATATAGTTTTTTTCTACTGGCAAACTAAGTTTCTCCTCAGAAGACTTCAAGGAATAATACCGAATTGTATATTTATCAACTTTTAATATTAACAATATTTACGGATGCATTTTTTCCAAATAAAACGATTTTTCCGCCTATTTAAAATACATGAGAAACTTTGAGCGCTTTGAGCAATGTTTAAATAGTTTTTTTAATTTCAAAAAAGGTATACTTTTAGATATATATATAGGTGAGAGCGTTAAAATTTTGTATTCAATTTCTTTGTACCGCCCTAATGTTGCAAAAATACTTTCACACTTTAGCATATTTAGCATATATTCGTACCATTTTTCTTATTCATTAGATAAAATTTGATAACAAAATGGCGGGTTGGCTTACTTGTGCACAAACGCTATCAGATCCGCTGCACGACCCGAACCATCACATACCACCACTGGCACTGGCGGTGTGTCCGTCACGTACTCTAATACCGCACGTACCGTATTTGTACCTCCTTCAATAACCAGACAGACGACCGGTGTGCTGGAATGTGTAACTGCAGGAGAGATAAGAAAAACAAGTGAGGAGTGCAATAAATATAAATAAGAGCAGAAAATGAGTATTTGTGAAAATTTCATTATATCTAAAATGTAGAAAAGCAAACGGATATGTGTGGTCGCTCACAAAAAAAGGTTTAAATAAAATGCGTTGCAATTCACTTTTTATTTGGCACTTAGTTTATCATTTCGTGAAATATTACTTGACAGTTGAGTCAAATGCGGCGGTGCGTGCAGCATTCAAATTCGCGTAATTGCATATGACCGCAAGGCCACTCACTCTCTCTCTCCCTCAAACGCACATACATATTCACATATATTCGCGCACAAACGCATACAAAAATACATTAATCTAAAAGCAGATGTTCGTATGAAGGAATGTGGCGTACATTGAGCAGACAAGCGCAAAAGCTCCTCCATTATAAATGCAAAAAAAAGCATATTTGAGAGTTGTGAGCAGCTTGTTATTCCAGTTGACATATTCCAGCCAACCAGCGAACCAAGCAACCAACCAAACAGCTAACCAACTACCATTTGCATATCCAGATGTTTGTTGATCGAATGAGTAAGCGAATGAGCGCATCCATGCGTTTGCCATTGCTGTAGTGGCTGCCACATATCACATCCGAATGCAGAATCGGAAAAGTGACATAATGCATCATTCGTATATATGTATGTACGAGTACTGACAAATTGAGGACATATCATAAATTTCATAAAATTACAAAAATCTTTGCTTTAATATTTGCATTGTTGAATGCATTGCGCTTTTGGTCGCCTTTTTATCGTTCTTCTTCGAAAGTCAACTTCATTTGAAAATATTTGAGTTTCGATATATGCAAGAATGGTATGAACGAGAGCCGATATGTGAATGATTTATTGCGAATTGATGATAAGTGGCTTGATTGCACAAAATCATTTCATTTGTAGAAATATGAACGTTTATTGAGAAAAATCCCATTGAATGTCAGAAAATCATAGAAGAAATATTTTATTGTATCCAAACAGGGGTCAAAATGAAAATCAGTGAACATTTTTTCAATACATACAACATACATTGCAGCATCGGAGAGGTTACATGGTTGGACATAAATTGAACATTGTGTTTCGAAGCTCAGTGCGCTTTGCCCCATGCACAAGAATGGAGATCCTGTCTGTTTGCGCCAATTGTGCCTCCTTCCCAACACTGCGTTTAGGATCCTAACGTCGATACTGAGTGAAAAACTGACGCCCTCCATGAACCAACGGATTGGACTTGATCAGTGTGGCTTCAGCACAAGCAAATCCACCACTGACCAGATTTTCACCGTTCGTCAAATCCATACTTTTTGCCCCCCTTTAAAGCCGCTTTTGAAGGCAACAACTGGACTTGTTACCCACAAAACGTTGAGCACAGCTTTAGACAGAGCGACTGAGTTTCGTCAGACTTTTCTCCTTCTGGTGTTGGAAAGCGTTATTTGAACTGTCAATTTGAATCATATCGGCACTATGGGCCATATGGGTAAATATACTTACAATAAAATTAATAGAATAAGGTTTTTTGACAGGTATTTATGTGCCTTTAAAAATTAAAGAAAATATAATAAATATTGTCTGGATATGTGTTTGTGTAAATCGCTTAAAATTTTCCATTTTTAATGCCACACTGACAGTCTGTCAGGTCATAAAAGGTTGGAATCAATATACGTATGTATTGTAAAAGGCATAAAATAACCATTTTTTCTTTTTTGTCTGTTTAATGTTTATTATTTATCTCCATTTCAAACTTTTTAGAAAAATTAGAAAAATTCAACAAAATTGTACAACAACAGTTTTTTATTAAGATTTTTCAGAAAAATTCTGGTTTATCGAGCACCGAAAATCGATTCCATAAGAACCGAAAAACGGCTCAGTGAAATTCGGTTTTGAATGGAAACATTGCTTTGTTTTAAATGAAACCTTAACAAGGAAAACGTTTAATTAAGTTTAATTTCATGTATTTTATTTTTATAAAATTTTTGATGAATGTAATATATATTTACTTCTTTTACTTTACTTTATAACAAATACTCGGAACCGCACATCACTATCGGATGGAAATCGTCATTCTGATAATATGGAAAATGAGCGTTGCAAATTCAAAACACACAAAAGGCTCTAAAAATTAACGACTTAAAAAAAGCCTAATTTTTTTTTTGTAATGTTAAGTTTTCACTGTAATTTGTTTACAATGACAATCGGCATTAAGTGTGCAAAGCTTTTGAAAATATAAATTTAATACTAAGCAAATGGCAAGGATTCCTTGAAATCCTTATTATAAACAGAAAAGCAAATGGAATAATGGCTTCTTTTATAGTCCAACAGAAAAAAAAATGTAAGGTATGGTCAATATGAATACCTATTTATCTAGGAATTGTTGCATGAATATACACAAGTATAAATGTATCTACATACAGATCCTTGTATACCCTGCAGTGAAATTATGATCTAGTATGCAGAAATTCCATAGCATAACCTATTGTTTAGGGATGGAAGTCGCACCAGTTCGCCATGAAATTAAAAAAAAAAAAGTATTCTTCCTTTTAAAACAATAACATCTTAACATAAAAATAAACTTAAATTACGAAAGAAAGAAAATTGTATTAAAAAAATAAATAAATAAAATAAAGTTCTAAAAATTAAATGAAGTAAGAAATAAACATTTTTCCTTTTCAAGCAATAAAATCTAATAATTAAAAGAAAAGTAAATTAAACAAATCCGTTGCCTGAAGACTCAAACTCGGTTCTCTCGAATACAGGCGTATTGTTCACTCGGCCATTGCCTCTGTTGGAGCGACGCGAGCTAAATTATACACAAGTGATTTCTCTCAAAGTAGCTTTTCACCAAGAGTGAACTTGCCATCTGATTTTCATTTGTCTGACGAAAGACTTTTTATTATCTATAGACGATAAACGCTTGCAAGCGTATCGCATGATATCAGTTCTCCTATTTTCGTTTTCATATCCCCACAGATATTTATTTATGTATATTGTTGTGAACGGCTTTTTATTGTGAACCAGCACAAATCAGCTACGCTAACTATCGGATTTCATACGACAACTGCGATTCGTAATAGAGAATAACAAGCGTCTGTCGTGCGTCGTACGAATTCATATTGATTTATATTGAATTTATTATGAATTGCTATATTGATTTCATTTATAAAAAAAAAAAACCTAAATACTCAAATACCATTAAAATTAAATGAAATATTTTTTTTTTCTTTTTAAAACACTGCTCTGTCCGCCGTTGCCACTGTTAGTATCGCGAACAAAATTACGTAGGTACTTCTTTCTTTCACGGTGCTGGCTCCGTCAACTGGTAGAATGATACTAGTATTTCTACGGGTATGTGCTGATGCAGGACCGTACAACTGACATCTCATATGACAACGCCATGTTAAAAACACTAGTTGCTAACATTGAAACAGGATAGAACGTGAACTAGTTGGGCTGAATTACAAACTGGTACAAGTCCTTACAGGATGTGTGCATATGTACTACGTGTGTATTTGTGGTTGGTTGTGTGAATGCACGTAAAATGCTCAACATTTTCCCAATCAAACTGCTAAACGTTTATGTGAACGAAATATTTTCATTCTAGCTTGGCATGCGACAACCGCATGCGACATGTCCACCTATTTCCTGGTTACAAAACCAGCCAACCGGTAAACCAACTCAAGAGCAATAGCAATGAAAACAAATAAATACCATTATTGGAGTTGAGTTGAAATATAATCACAGCGGAAGTAAAAGTGCAGCATTTCCACAAATAGATGAAATCAATTTCAAATAAAGACCACATTATCCTAGCAAACATTATACACACATATGTAGTATGTACATATATACAGCGTATGCGCGTGTGTACAGTCATACATATACGTATTACAATAATGCTTATTTTTATTATATATATCAGTATTTATTTATGAATGTGCATTACGGTGGTCTAAAAATAAACAAACAGTAAAGTCGGAATTTTTATGCTCTCGCCCGCTAAGATTGTTCTATACCGAAAAAATATACCCCTATTTTGTATTTTGAAATCAAAAAATATTTACAGGTCACCCAAAGCGCTCAAAGTTTTACATGTATTTTTTTATGGGAAAACACAACTTTTCGTAGAAATGGTATAGAATTTTTGAAAATCAATATTTTTCGACCGGAAAACTCTGTTTCTCTTCAGAAGAATCCCAGAAATAATACCCAATTAAATTTTTAACAATTTTTTTCGTAGTAACTATATTTTATAGGTCCGTCGAAACCCCTAGAAAATGCCAGAAAATGGTTAAATAAACAATTGTATTTTGTTATTGGAAGTGTCCCAAAGAGAACCAGAGTTTTGATATTGATTTTTAAGAATTCCATACCATTTCCACGGAAAGTTTGTTTTTTCCCTATATAAAAACTTTGAGCGCTTTGCGCAACTTCTAAATATTTTTTGATTTCAAAATAAAAAATGGGGGTATACTTTTTTCGATATAGAACAATCCTAGGGGGTGAGAAAATTAAAATTCCGACTTTACTTAATTTATACCACCCTAATGTGCATGCATGCAGGCATGGTTACAGTACCCATGGGTGCCTTTGCTAAACTAACAGAATTGCTGTGGAAATGTTTGAGTTGCAAAAAATACATTTGTATGGATGTATGTTGCTGGCAAATAAAAGTCACATTGAAAATCTAAAGGACGCACAAAGTACGATAATGGTAAATCAATTTGCTACTCCGCAAGATGAAAAATAATGAATGGCTAAAAATCGATAAGTAGGTGCTAAAAATGGAAAAGAAGGTTTCTATAAAAAGTTGGAGTTTATACCTGTGATCTAAAACTTATTCTATGATTTAATATTAATATTTTATATTAAGGCTCCGAAGCAGATAGTTGACTAACAATGCTTACGTAGGAGTAGCTGGTATGACGAGAAAAATATGGGGGATGGAACCGAAAATAATACATAGCTATAGTTACACCAATTCCCTATTACTGTATGGTCTGACACTGATGGGAAAGTGGTAAACTGGCTTGCGGCCACAATCATAACTGATTCGATGAGAACAACACCAACGTAGGCACTGTATACCCTACTGAATTTCTTCCTGTAGAACTGCATGTCAAACAACGGAAGCGTTTCGACAATTCATACGGGTCATCTAAATAAGTGGTCAAATACCAGTTACCGAAACGGTAAGACACTAACGGAGTTTCCGGAACTTCCTGGATTGGTGGACTTTGGACTTCTGAGACCTGCACCTGTTATGACGTTTACGACCCTCAAGTGAAGAGTGTAAACCGGACGCTGTAAGGAGTGGAGAGTCCATCCATGTATATACAGATGGCTCAAAGTTCGAGAGGAGGGTTGGTGAAGGTGTATACTACCATCACCTGGGAATTTCTCTGTTGTTGTTGTTGTTGTAGCATACAAGTTCCCCAAAGAATTTTTGGGGATCGTTGCTGGAGTGGCAGTACTTGGCCAAATATAAATCTGCGTCGTTCTGGTTACGTAGACCCGATTGTCGTGGGAACGGGAATTTCCCTATCTTTGCGGCCGGTGCTCAGCGCTGAAGGCACTTACCTACTATTGAACCTAAATAAGCGTAATATTAGTTTATTAGTATCTGTTGTAAAAGGGACACTACCTAACTGGCAAACATATCAATCGACTAGGCCTACGATTACATGACTTCTGTAGAATTTGTCAATACGAAGAGGAGCGGGAAACGATTCTGCAACTGTTGAGCCAAAGCCTTCCGCTATTGAGACAAAGACTCTGCACTCTTCGTGGACAATTCTTTGACAACTTGGAGGACTTTAGAATAATGGAAATCAGGGACCTTCTAAATTTCCTGAGAAGTTCAAAATAGTTTAGGGGGGATTGCGAGTTGCTAACCCCTCAAACGGCATCGCAATGGGCCCTGAGTTTAAGCGCGTTTTATAGATTACCACGACAATCTAACGTAAGACTAACCTAGATGCTATTCGTTGTGGCATTAACATCAGGGACGTCAGCGTTGTATACTTTGAGAATGAAGCAAATGGGTTTGTACCAACTTTTTTATTCTACGGCTTCGCAGTCTGGTGGACAACGTAGAATAAGTAGCTTATAAACTCTAGTAAGTGTCAACAAGATTTATTCCAGAAACTTTAACCATCAAAACCTTTACTGAACTTTTTGGCTTTCGAATTTTTTTATAGGCTCTAAAGCGATTCGAAAAGTCAGCCAGAATTATTTTATACTTCCCCGAAGTTCTTCCAGGCGAATCCCTTCTGGGAAAATTGGAGGGGGAAGCACACTCCCGGGATACAATACAGCCACTCGTGTGTTGTTGTTATAGCGCCCACTTAGCCCTACCTCCAGTCAGCTAATCTTTCGGTTATTGTCATCAAACTCCACTATCGGAAGGCGCAAACAGCTGGATGTTTCTACGTGGTGGGACCAAAGTTAGAGGGAGAGTTAGTTGCGAGTTGTTACTAGCCGGCCGGTCAATTGCCTTGCGCGTTTCCAACGACGTTGCTTAGCTTCAAGTGCTGTCCTTGAGCGGTTTGAGGACTTTATTGCGGCTATCTACTTCAAAGTGTGAATTTCGAATTTTCGCGTTGTTCGCTTTCGGATTTGGTACGCCATCGACGTAAGTTCGCAGCTGCAGGCAGGCCCCTATAGTTTAGGAGGTAAAAAGGGTTGCCGAAGATTTCATGCGGAAGGGGTTAGATTCCTGGCAGTGCATAAGCGATGCACATACATACATGCACAAAACCAATGAATTATTTTCTTGAAAACAAAACTAAAATTTCTTTTTTACGCAGCTTTTTTAATTTCAGCTGAAGATAAAAAAAATAGATTTGCATTAAGCGTGAAAATCATAGTCTGCGTTTAATCTGCTTGCTAGATTTATTCTTAAAAATCATACTTACATGGATGCAGTTTTAAGTTCGATATGAATTTTTCCAATTTTCGTCGCAATATCAACTCAGCGCCATATTTCGCTTGTGTACCATTATCGACCAGCAGGAAGTAAGCATGACGATTATTCAACACTGCTAATTTTGACCTAAGGGCATGAATAGAGAAGAAAAGATAAATACATCAGCAAACATTTCAACTGCTTTTCATTCAAATTAGAATTTAAATAAGTATTTAAGCTCCGTGCAAGGCAGCTCATTATCCAGTCAAATATACTATCAAATGCCAATTTAGAGACACCACATGGCGTACCCCATGGCGGATACGCAACACTGAATAGCGCTGTTCAAAATTCAAATCCAGCAACAGACCACAGCTTGTCAAACCCATGAATATGCATGCAGCAAGAGTAACTTGACGGTTGCGTTAACGTTTGTAAGCTGTTGACGGTTGCCACCTGCACATACATATATACACGTACGTATGTGCCACAAAATACAACTTTAAAGTAGCCAAGTATTTACGTAACCCCTGTCATAGGAATGAACTTTACAATACTCACTCACCTTGGCGAACTTATGCTATGACAGGGCACCTCACGATTATGTCCCAAAAGTTCGTGATTACGCTCCACTATGCCCCAGGGTGCAATACCAATACTAACAACACGACCACTCCGCTGCTGACCCTCGAGCAACAACGCATCGCCCACCTGTTTTGTAACACCTGCAAAGTCGAAGAAAAAAAAATATACATACATTATTGTAATGGAAGATATCACATAGATGGCAATGGTAAACGTCCATACACAACGTAATGGACCTACATAAATGGACTTAAATCTAAATAATAGCGACCACTTCTTCAGGATGAGCAGTATTTGAATTTACAATAACTTCTAAAGAATATGTAAATGAGATGCTGAACAAACAATTTAAGCCGTCTGCTATAACCGACATCGGGATTTACCATTTAAATGAGTTACTGGAAGTTGAATGGACCATAAAATAAATAAATTGTCAGCTAGTCTTAAAGTTTAGCGGAAGAAGATCTCATACTTATGTAGTTCAGTATGTACGAGTACTTGTAGATATTAAGATATATATGTATATGTATATGCCCATATCTATGTGCGTAGTGGCATAAGATATCAAACGTCACTTTAGCGATTGAGTAAAACGATAAGGGCGCTTAAATACCACAAAAAGCCAAACGCCAGCACTGATATCCGCCGAGGCAACAGACAAGTAAATAACAGATCAACAGTTGAAGGCAATAAGTAAACAAATGTAGGCAGATACATATGTACATATTTGCGTAGATATGTATGTACATACAAATAATCCGTGTGTGCATAAGCAATCAGAAATAATACGTTAAAGACAGCCCTTGCTTTTTTTTATTAATCCGCAAGGCAAACAAATGTAAACGAAACGAATTGGCTGACGTTGCCCATAAAATAAATTGTTCTTTGTTTGGATTTTTGCTCAATAACTGACAAAGGCGAGATGTGTAAATCCAAAATTAACGAAAATGGAACACTAAACGAAATCAATGTAGCATTTTCAGAGAGCAGTACATAGGTACATATCTATGCAGGCAATATACATATATGGGTATATTTGTGAGTAATGCTCTAAGGCGGCACTTGCTCTGTGTGATGATTAAGTACTTTTTTAGTGGTGGTAAAGCTTCTATTAGGGAAGAAATAGTGTAGGCACAACTTGAAATATTTCTTAATACGCATCATATCGAATATGTACTAGGAATGTATGTGCAATGCGACGTTTTATTTGCATCGTTAAAGGTCAAAAATGTGAAAAATAACTCAACTTATACCCGTCATATTAATATTTTCATACTTAAGTTGATATATGTATATGGGGCTTCCATACCAAAACGGACGCGGTTCACACTTCATGCGTTTGATTTGTTTATAAAATAAATAATAAATAAATATGAAATTTGAGCTTGATTAATACATTTTTATAAACTTTACAGCACAAAAACAAAAACAAATCTAGAGAACGGACAATGAAAAAATTAAAAAAAAAGTAGACACAGGGTTAAACCTTATTGCCTGGCATTGAACGGAAATTCATGAACTTATCAAATTTAGTTGTTGTTCGGTGTGGGTTTGTGCGGCTCTTTACAATGACATAAACAGTAGACTTGAGCATTTTATGTACAAGCAACCCTAAACTACACTAATTTAGAATGTATTTAACTACTTTACCTGTATTTGTTCCGCCTGTAAAAATCCATGCGCCAGTCGTTTTCGCCGCCTTCAAAAGGCCCTTGCGAATTTCCTGAAAAAAAAGAGTAAAAATACATTTCAAATTTCAGTTAAGCACCACTTAAGGATTTTTATTGAATATTTATAATTTGCAGCATAATTGATTGGCGCTAACCTAATGTGGGAAGCTGTTTTTCATTGCATAAATACACTCGGAGAGGTTTGTCATTGCTTGCCGCGGAGCGACCGTTGTTAGAGAAAAACTTTTTTTTCTTATATTTTTCTGATGTTAACCGGAAACTGGGATCGATCCCAGGCCCGCGGAATGATGTGCGCACTTTTAACCACTTTGCGCAATTAGTTAAAAGCAAATAAGTATAAAAAAGTATTGAGTACTAACCGGGCACCAAGTCTGGCTAAGATAGTTAAAAGTCTTTTGTAATACAACTGAAAGATAGTAGGCAAGACAGTTTGAAAAATTTTGTTTATTCTACCACGAAAGGTTAAAAAAACAAGCTCTCTTGCCAACTTTCAATATGAAAATCTCTTTTGACAAAAAGCTCATGTATATAATTTTGCTCGGGCTGCTCCAACTGTAGCAATGGCCGCGTAAGCAGAGCAAGTGTGTGCCATTCGAGAGATCCGGGGATCAAGTCCTCGAGCAGCGCAATTTTCCCCCTTTTTTAATCTTTTTTTTTAATAAAATTTCCTTTTAATTTATGTTAAATATATTGTTGTAAATAGATATATACACTATCGAGCAAAACTGGTGGTTTTTGTTAAATATTTCCAAGATTTTTTAAGTTAAAACTTTTTAATATAAAAGAAGTATTAAAAAGCAACGCGATTTTTTCCGCTTACACTTCATCAGACTAAAATTGCATCGGCTATAAAACTGCATACCCAGATTAAAAAGTTGGTCATTTTGATGAAAATTCGTTGAATTTTTCTAAGCTTTTTATAAAAATTGAAAGTTTGATTTACATATATGGCTTTAGTTAAAGCATGAACCATATTTTTATAAACAAAAAAATATAACTTTAAAAACCTCTCAAATATTTAACAAAAACCCGATGAGGTCAGTTTTGCACTATAGTAGATTTTTTTAATTTAATAATTTTTTTTTACTTTAGCTTTTAGGTTTTAGTGCTTTAATAAAAAAAAATTAATTCATTTAATTTTTAGGAAATTATGTATTTTTCCTCTTTTTTGATAAATTTTTTTCTGTTTAATTCAATTTTCTTTTAGGTTTTACATATTCTTCAGTACATATTTTTAAATTCATTTAATTTTGAACAAGTTAGTTTATTTTTCTCCATTTAATTATTTTATTTAATTACATATTTAACAAAAACCACCATGTATTCAGTTTAGCGCTATAGTGTATTTCTTTATTTAATAAATCTACCTTTTTAGTTTACAGACTTATGTTTTTGATATTTTTTTTCTATTTTGTTTTCATTTTTAAAATTTCTGGTTTTAAATAAAAATATATATTTTTAATTTAATTTAATTTTTAGAAACATATTTTATATTTTCCCTTTTTATTTATTTATTTTATTGAATTTTCTTTTAATTTTTAGATATCTAAAAGATACATTTTTTTTAATTTAATTTAATTTTTAGGAACTAACTTTTTCGATTTTTTTTTTTTTATTTTTTAATTTGCAGATATTTTCTTAAAATGAAGTGTAGTTCTTTATCTTCATTTAATTTTTGGGAACTTTATTTATTTTCTGTTCTTAATTTTTTGCTTTTTAATATAATTTTCTTTTAACTTTTAGTTTTTGCTGTTCCAAATAGAAAACTATAAATACTTTATTTTTATATACTTTTTACTTTTTTTTATTTGTTATTTTTTAATTTTTAGAAAACTTATTGCTAAAAAACAAAAGGAATAAAGCTAATGTATATAGGTTTATCGTTAGCAGATCTTTCAATTTGTCTTCCAGTAGACAGAAAATAGCTTCCAAAACAGTTGCGATAATTGACAATTGTCTTACGAAAGATTTGTTGTCTTTCGAAAGACTGTGGTGAATTGAAAGACAATTGCCAGAATCACCCTGTATGAGTTTACTCCTCTACTGCTGCTTGCTATGCGGGATGCTAAGCGCTTAAATGTAGTGCGTTATAGAGAACTATTTCGCTAAAGCAAATTTTTCAACACGCTCAAGTAAACGAACTTTTTGCATTTAAAATCGATTTTTTTTTTTGTTTTGTTATCAATAAACTTATAAAAATAGACAACAAATAAGTAAGTATGCTACTTGTTAAATAATAAACGCGTGCAAACTTACCTTCTTTAACTTTGGTTGAGCTCGAAATTCGCCTTGCCACCTTGTACTGTAATCAAAAGTTTTGGTAATTCCAAATTCCATTCTTTGGTAAACAGTTGAACTAGCAATTCCGGTCGTGTATCAAAGGACAAACGTACATACTGTCAATGGCAAGAGAACGAAAGAGAAACAGGAATACGATATTATTTACTAAAGTGGAAAATAAACTTTTAAATCATGTGAAAAGATATGAGGGCAATACAAGAAACTTACAAACGTAGTTACTTTTTTCTCTTTAATCTTACAACTATTAAAAAAGTTTACTCTTGAAATTCTTTGTCTAATCACTCGAAGAATGCGCTTTGCAAACTTCATTTGGGCCAATAGTTTGGTCAACGACCACTTTCTTGTATTAAATTTATAACAACAACTAAGTAGATCAAAGAGTAATTAAGATAACTTTCAAATGCAAATAAATACACAAAATATATACGCACATACACACGCACGCGATGCCTTAAAAATGTTCCAAAAACTTTGTTAAGTCTTCAACATTTCATCTTTTAATCTTCGGCATCCAAGCGGAAGTGAGTAGCTGAAATATGAGCGCAAACTAAAAATGATGTTGCAAACATCGTGTCTTAACATAGTGCAGACACTTAACACTATTTTAATGGTTTGTTTTAGCGTATATACGTGTGGGTAGATTTTCACATAAATAAAGCTACAGAGCATCTTGCAGCAGGCGAAGTGGAAAGTCGTCCACCAGAGAGAGTTAAAAAGCAGAAAAAAAAACAAAAACTCCCACGAAAACTTTAACTGCAATTGAACAATTTGTAGAGCAGATTTTTCAACAAATTTCTAAGATATTGCAACTTTCTCACAGTTTTTCTACGCTCGCACAACCACAACGCGCTCAGTTTTGCCATTTTCAATTTCACTCTTGAGGAGAAACTCAAATAGTATAACTACTTTTAAATTGCGAACTGGCGTCGTTACTGCATTTGGACACTCTTTTGGAAATAGGTAAATTTTAAACAGTTCAAAGGAGGTTAAAAAGGAAACAGGGAAGCCAACACTCATACTACAATACCGCCAGCAGTTAGTTAGTAGATTGACAAGAGAAAGATACACTGAGTCCCTAGATACTTACCGCTTCCCTAATAAATGCTAACACTATCTTAGAAGACGAATTCCCAATAAGCAGCTGCATTATATATCTCAGGCTTAATTTAGATAGGAAGCTCACATTCTGGGATCACAGCTAGACCGTGTCTGAGAAAGGGTTTAAGAAGACAGCAATGCTGAGCAGACTGGTGGCGGATGTAAACGGACCCATATCAAGTAAGCGGCGTCACTTAATGACTCCAGACCCCTTCTACTTACTTTGAAGTGTTGGACATTTGCACAGAAAGTTCTTAGCGAGGTTTTCTTGTTGTTTGTCTGTACAAGCTCTACAGAAATCATTACACATGACTCTGGACATTGCAGCCAATAGTTTCCGTAAAAAGCGTTATGTTCTACTTATCATCTGGTGTCGAGAGCCATCGCGATACTCTGTGTATATGACCAGTTTAGTCCGTCAGCTGTGTTATCCGTACGCTTGAACTCAGTTTTACGAGTTTTGAAGATTAAACCATTTTTTTTTCTACTTTCTGAGTCGGTTCAAGTTGTCTTACGAACCGTACCGCGGATAAGTCAGTTTAGCCATGAATATAATTTGTCTGATACCGTGTGGCCAATAAACTTATTTATCCTTACTCGGGTATAGCTTACAGTGAGTCACTTACAATGCGCGCGCTTCTCTCTTTTCGTCACTCGTATACCAAAACGGTAAAAAAAACAACGAAGGTGTACAGCAGATGAAACGGCAACTATCAGCATTAATACCACCCAAAGCACGGAAAGTTCAGAGCTTAATTCCTCATAAAAGTTGA